TTTTAAATTTACCTGCTCTTCACACACGGAAGTAGAGAGATACAACTCGTATTTGCAGGGCATCTACAAAGAAGGGGTTAGACGAGATAAAAATCATCAATTTTACGAACGGAGCACCGTAGATGTCCGTAGGGGGCATAGGTTTCCATAGCCACTAGAATCCATTGGCCACGGAACCGGGCTGTTATAATCCCAATATGGCCGTTTGTAATTGAGATGTATTATTTAAATACTTCTGTGTCAAAAATGCTTATTAAATACTCCCTCCGTCCCATGAAACATGAGACTTTTGCTTTTTAGGAGGGATTTAAGGGAAGTGTATTTTGGTATTGAATTTCTAAAAATGTCCTTTGATGTGATGGGTAAAGTATGATTTAATGGATAGATTATTAGCAAAAAGGTATGATGTGATAGTTAAGGTATGAAAATGTAAGGGGTAAAAGTGACTTTTTAATAGAAATGAGAAGTGTTTTGTGGGACGGATAAAAAAAGAAATGGGAAAGGTTTCATGGGACGGAGGGAGTATCAGTTAAGTGAAAGATTTTTTTTTGTATTTTTCATCATTTAAACTATGAATAAGTCTTCAAAATAGTCCTTTCAAATTAAGAGAATAGCTGTTAGAGGAACAGACTCACCCAGAGTAGGCTCATAGACTCTATTTCGAGAAAACATTTGCCTAGAAATGATTAGCTTGGAAAAATACTTAATATAAAGAAGTATTTCGAGAACATACCTTAAGTCCAGATGGTAGAAAAATACCAAAACACGTTCTATTTGACTGACATTTAATCGACATTTTTGCCAAAGGACCACATAGGTAATTATTGGTTATTTTGAGCATCTCCAACCATAGCAAAGTGACTTGCTATATGTTATAATTTAACAAACATATACAAAATTTCATGCTCCAAGGGGTTATTCAAAATTTGACTAGCTTGCTAAAAAATGAAAACAGCTTGTTATTTATAACAATCATGCTAGAATATAGCTAAACAAAAAAATTAATGTGAATTTCTTTTGCAATGATATATACTGCACAAATATTCCGTATAACATTTTTTTGTTTTTTTGATTGAATGTGATTTTTACCATAGGAAGAGTTGTTTGATTTATTTAATTTTAATTAGAAATATTTTATTTTATAATTTTTAATTACATAATGTAAGAATATAAATTTATAAATATAATTTTTTATTTTGTATTTTTTACTAATTTGTAAATAAAATCATTTTAAAAGTCATGATGTTTTGCACGTTGATCAAAATAAGTAAAACATTATGGAATAGACTATAGAGGGAGGGAGTAGAATATAACAAGTCATGGTTGGAGAAATGAGCAAAAAGTGGCTTGTTATACTACTATTCATTTGCTAAAAAAAGCAATAGCAAGCCACATATAGCAAGCCCCTTTGGAGATGGTCTTAGAGATGGCATTATCACTACAACACACACACACACACACACATATATTCACACACACATAGTATATACATATATTGGTTCTGGAGAAAATGATCTCTTATGAGATAAATGAAAATGCATGTGTCATATAGTGATTTCGATTGTGAGATCTAAGAGCTATGAAAGTTTTTTAAAAATAAGAAAAAATTAGGAAATATGTGGTGGTAATTTTGTAATTAAATTAAACTTTGTAAAGTGACTACATATTTTTTTATATGCATCACTGATAGACAAAAATACATCATTTACATTTCTTTCGCCAAAGTTCATTTTTACAAAAACTGACACACACACAGAGATACATACACACACACACATACATACATACATACATGCATGCATACACACACACATACATACATACATACATGCATGCATATACATACATGCATGCATATATACATACATGCATGCATATACATACATACATACATACATACACACACACACACATATATGCAATTCAAGTGAGAATGGATCTTAGTGCATGCAATGGAGTAGAGTGAGGAATTAATGGAGTACACAACTAATAAATAATGCTTTGATTCAATTGGATCTTCATTGCAAGGTAACATGCAAAGTATGAACACTTTCATGAAAAGTCCAATCAAAGATATAAGTATGAAATGGGCAGCTGCATCCCCCAATTCAGGACACTTTAACAACCAAACTAAACCCAGGAATTGGATAAAAAGGAAATTATAGCTCTCATCTTAAATATCTCTCCCCCTTTTTTCAGTTGGCTTGTACTGGTATATATCTATCAAAGCATTATGTGATTTTTTGGGTTGGATTTCATAGTTGGATGTTGGAAAAAATTGGAAAGAGTTGGAAGAAATTGGAACGAGTTGGAAAAAACTAGAAAATGCTGGAAGAATTAAATTGTTAAAAAGTCACTCAATTAATTAATCATCCAAATAAATATGTTAGGAAATTCTAATTTGGGATAAAAAAGAATTCATATTTGTTATGTTTGAGGTGATATAATATAAATTTGGATATATAATGGTATTCTATATTAATCATATACAAATATATTTTTTAAGTCTTTGTTGGAAGAAACTGGAAGGTGTTAGAAAAAATTAGGAGTTGGAAGAAGTTGGAAGTTACTCTTTTCAACTCAAAAAAATAAGACCTTAAAATTCTTCATCCATTTTTATTAAAAATATTTTAGTAAATTTTCACTTTTTTAAATAACTCCCTCCGTCCTAAAATGTTCTTCCCACTCACTTTTTACCCGGTCAAACTTTAATCAATTTCTTTACCTATTTTCGTTAGGTATTTGATAAAATAATATAGTCTTGTCACCACTTGTTTTGTAGAACTTTTGATGTAGTTTTTAAATATATAATTTTATTTTTTAATTTTACACCTACAATCAAATAAATTGAATTGAAAATAAAGTTGGTCAAGCCTCGTAAAATGAACCAGGAAGATCATTATAGGACGGAGAGAGTACTCTTTAAAATTTACAGAATAATTTGGAAAGATCAATAAGGACGGAAAAGTGCTTAAAGTAAGCTAATTAATTAAGAGTTTGGTACCTTTATCTTTCGTGGTGGGAAGAGGGGTCTACTGCTTGAATAATCGCCCATATTTAAATGATCTTTTCATGAGCATAAAAAATATGGATTCTCAAATAATTTGATATGAGAATCTTTTATACTCCCTCCGTCCCAAAAAGATTTACACCTTTCAAAAAAATTGTGTCCCACAATCTCCTACCCATTTCTATTAAAAAACCACTTTTACCCCTTACTTTTTCAAACCCTACCTATCACATCATACCTTTTTCCTAATAATCTACACATCACATCCTACTTTTACCCATCACATCAAGGATATTTTTGGAAAGTCAACACAAAATTATCTCTCCCTTAATTTCTACTTTAGTCAAA